CTCCCTAGGTGAGGGTAGACAGTCGTTGTGCAATTATGTGCATCTGCGAATGACTTTGGTTGTCCATTCGCTCATTGTTCTTCGCGGTTCTGCTAATCGCTTTAAAGACCTCAACGTCCATGTAGTAGAATTATTTAACTCTAGTGAACAAAATTATCCTCATCCCGACTTTCACATTGCAATCTAAAGCCGGTGCATTCTAGTAAACAAAAAAAAACCGAACAACAACAAGGCGCAGTTCTCTCGCTAGACCGCCTGATTTTTCATATTTGCTATCAATGCAAAATACCATAGAACTCGATAATCGAGCCATCCTCATCAATCTCCACAAAATTGTCAAGGTGTTATCCTCATTATCTCCGCCCTACTTTGGAGGACTCCACTGTTTCGACCGAATTACTTCACGTTAGCAACTTCCAAAGTAGCTGGTGCACCACAGTCACAGCCACTTCAAAAACCGTGATAGATCATACTGATGCACTATGACCGACAACCCCCATCGTCGTATGCACACATTGCAAAAGGTCTCTCACCCACAACACCTTAGAATCGCCCTCCATTGGACATCAGACTCGAATGGTGTCTCACTCCTCGACATCCCCTCCCTCCCAGAGCACTCATATTACCTTCACTTTGGAATTTAGTGAAAATAGAAGAAGACCTGTGCTCAATGTAACAGTCTGACAAATGTTAATCTTTGTAGCACGATTACATGACAGTACTGCAAATACTTGGCGTTTAAAATGGAACATCAAATTTCAAGCCAAGATCAAAGAAGCTTAACTCACTGAGGCAAATGTAACCAATGAAATGTATCCACATCGAAGTGCATTATCAGTTGCCAGACTAGAGCAAATAGCACAATTAGGACTGACGAAATAACAAAATATTGACGAGGCGATGGCCACAAGGAGTCAGCAGGCGATGGAGGTGGAGAGGGAAGTAGAGACAAAGGACTTGGAGGGACCCCATGCTGCAGATGGACTTGACACTGTTCAAGTGTGCAGGGAGGGACGCGCTCGCACGCTGACAGAAGATGCTGTCGGTCAATCTCCGCCTCTTGTGATTCACGAGTCAACTCTGCTGCCATCTGCACTACAGCGACCACCTCTGCACCCGTGTAGCCCTCCAGCTTCTCCTTTGCAAACACCTCCAGCCAATGGGGCTCCAGCGCACGCTTTGAAGTCGACCGTTTCGACAATTCTAACTGAAGAATAGCCCTTCGTGCCTCAGCGTCTGGAGGTGGCACATGAATGGTGACGTCAAAACGACCTGCTCGCCGCAACGCCTTGATAAGAAGTGACAGAAATATTGCTAATGTCACCCACTGTCAACAACATCTACGTGGACCCTAATACAAAATAACTACTTATTACATAGAAGCCAAAGACGAAATGGACTCAAGTGCAATAGCAGATTTCAAACTGACTTCCATCCTGGTAACCTCTGCACCCAGTTATCTGCTTATTACCGGCTTGTAGAAGTCTCTCATCTGCGTTAAACTTGCCCTTACAAAAAGGAGCGACAAATCATTGTCTCTGGGACTCATTTGACTACCCTTGTCTGGCAGTTGCCAGTGCGAAGGGCAAGGGCGGCCTTAAAGCTACGGTTCAACATTATTGGGACCGCTGTCCTATCGTGGACTTGACAATATGCTGAATGAAAGGGCACTTCAGACATCCAGCAGGCTATGCAGACGCATGACCCAACGGAAGGTGATTTAAATGGGTAAAAAAAGAGTTGAGCGAGATATGGAAGCGTTCCCTACTCATAGGTGACAGTGCTTCGAACATTATTTCGAAGGCAAGGTTAACCGATCAACAGAACGAACGCCAACACAAATATTAAATTCAAAAGTGTTGATAAAAAGACAATTTTATGCTCACAAATTATTCCAAATTCACATTTCTACCTTTAACGTAATGCACTACTTGTGAGCAAAACGAGTAGTGACATTAAAAGAGATGATAACTATTTCTTGAGGTTACTTAATTCATTGTTTCTTGTTTCAACAATTAACGGACCAAAGAATACTAACACCTGCTATTGAGGCAGTGTTAGGATCTCAGGCTTGGAGACAAACTGCCTAGCAATGGAGGGGAGGGTATTTATACTAAACTATGCGCCATATGACTGAACTCGGCAAGCCTGACCACATCGGAGGCAAATTTGGAATAGAGACGCATCCACAAAATCAATCCCCATCGCGTGATGTGAGGCCATTAAGTTGAGCCAATAGATCTTGATAAGACTGAGTGAGAATCTGTACACAGTTGCAAAGAGGGACAAAAACGAGAGCAGAAAGATACAAATTCTAAAGAGCTCTCAAAGAAGTCGGACGTCCTTTTAAAAACAAAGCTCAAGTGAAAGAAAAAAAAACATTCACCTACGTCCTTGACAAAGACAACACCCAATCCAACATAAAGTGACACAAGAAGGTATATTTAAGGTGTTTGTTTGTTTACTAGCATTTGCTGTTCTCACACTCCTACGTCTCGCAGTGTTTTTTGAGGAAAGATGGAGTGCCTCATTGGGAGAACCAGTAGCGAACACGTTCCATGATACCATTGCACGTTGTCCCTTACAGCGACATCCAAATCAAATGTAACTGTCGGGTTTAGCTCAATGCCAGGCAAATTGATACCTAGACAGAGGATCGGACAGCACTAAGGGGCGGTGTTACAATAGACATGTAAAACGCAGAAAATAATGCATTGCCAGCCTTTCAGACCCTACTGCCTGAAGCAACCCTCCCATCGACGAGAGATAGTATCGAAAAATCCGTCAAAAAGCACACCAGATTCATTCCTTGCTTTTACTCTACTCCATCGACGGACTTATGGCTACTATCAAAGAAATCAGGACATTCACCGTGTGCCAGCAAACCAACTGACCCCTCCGGTAATGCCATAGAGCACTCTGTAATGCACGTTACTAAAGTGA